GGCATTACGCGTGTTACTCAAGCTTCCTAGCTTCCCAAAGGCTATTTCATTTCAGTGAAGTGGTGATAGTCACGCCCTTCCTTATCTGCTTTCTCATGTATTTTAATCCCTATCAATGGAAACAACTTGAGCAGAGTCCCAGTTGCCAGCCTACAAAGGTAGCAAGGGTGTCACAGCTACTACTGACTGAGTTCTTTACTTGGGGCCAGGCAATGTGCTAAGTGCTTTCCATGTGTGGTCTCACAGATTTCTCACACCAACCTGGTGAGATCATTACACCCATTGCACAGCTGCAGAAAATGAGCTGTAGCGAACAGAGCTGATCTGCCCATGTGGCAGGACTAGGTCTCAACTTGGGTTCCTCTGATACTGGAGACGTTTTGTTTGATTAGAACCTGTTTCTGGACATCCACTCCTGTTAATTCAACCAGAAAAGGCCTCAATAACTGTGTGAAAAGAGGCAGAGAAACAAGAGCAGTGGATCTTTACTGATAGAGAATTGCGTTTTTCTCTATTGCTTTGAAAACCAAAATGAGGGGACCAGTGACCAAAAAATATGGGGTCGGAGACCAATCTTGGCTTATACTAAAAACAGTTTTAAAAGCTGGAGCAGTCTCACAGAGAAAAAGCTTTCCCTGCAGGGAGTGATCTTCTTGCCCCCCCCAAAGATCCCTTGTTTGAGCACAAGACTCAGGGCCTGTTTTCTACTCTAGGATCCTACGATTTGTCCCTCATCTTCATTTAAAAACAAAACAAAATTTTATGGTGGCTTGGGTGAGGAGTAGAGAGCAAATCTGCTTTCCCTTCAACATACACATTGCTTCATGTCATTGAATGCAATCTCCACAATTTAACATCCTTAATCCCGCTTCCTCCCTGTGTGCCCCATTTGTCCCCATTCTTTCTTACCCCCTTCCTGCCTTCTGGACTTGGTCCTTGGGCAGATTCTGCCCTTCTTGTCTCAAAGGGTCAGCCCATTCGAAGGTGTAGGTTATATCTAGTGTTCCTGTTCCCTTTAAAGGCCTGTTGATGGTTTGGTTGAAAATTGAGCCATGGGGGTGTGTTCAGTCCCAGGTCTGAAGGGTGTTTAAGGACCATAGTCTTGCGGGTTCTCTTAGTCTCTATTTGGTCAGTAAACCTGGTCTTTTCTGTGATTCTGAGTTTT